TCGAGAGGAAGCGGAGGGGGGAGTACCAGGGGAGGATGTAGGGGGTGGGGAGGGGCAATGAGGAGGGAGGGAAGAGTGGTGAGTGGGGGAAGGGAAGGAGGGAAGGGGAAGGTGGAGGGAGGAGGGGAAGAGGGGTGATGAGCAGGGAGGGAGGAGGGGAAGAGGAGTGAGGAGGGAGGGAGAGATGAGAAAGGGGATACCAAGGGAGAAAGGGGTGCATGAGTAGCAAGGGAGGGGAGGGAGGGGAGAGGAGGGGAGGGGAGACGAGCCGGGGAGTTTAGAGAGTCGAGGTTCAACGGGAAGATAGTGGGAGATACTCTCTTCCGGTCTCTGTAAGGGGAGATAAGGGGGAGAGAAAAGAGAGAGAGAGAGAAAGAGGAAGGGTGAGATGAAAGAATGAATGAGAGAGAGAGAGAGAGAGAGAGAGAGAGAGAGAGGAGAGAGAGAGAGAGAGAGAGAGAGAGAGAGAAGAGAGAGAGAGAGAGAGAGAGAGAGAGAGATAGAGAGAGAGAGAGAGAGAGAGAGAGAGAGAAGAGAGAGAGAGAGAGAGAGAGAGAGAGAGAGAGAGAGAGAGAGAGAGAGAGAGAGGAGAGAGAGACAGAGACACAGACAAAGAGAAAGAGAAAGACAAAACGAGAGAAAGGAAGAGAGAAATAAAGAAAGTTAAGAGAGAGAGAGAAAAAAAAATAGTATATATACACGATAGAGAGAGAAAAAAAAGAGAAATAAGGAAACGAAGAGAGAGGAAGAGATAGACAGAAAGACGGACTTCCAGCGGTGCCCAGCTGATGGGGTGGGTGGGGGGGGCGGTCCCAGCTGCCGGATCGCACCTGCGGCTAATTGCACGTGTCTGCCCGCGGTGCCAGGAAGGGAAAATTTTCGTTTTTTCTCTATTCTTTTCACTTTGTTTCGCCCTGTTATTGTTTCATTCTATTGTTATATTTGTTATGGGTGTATTTTATCACTTTTTTTTCATTTTTCGTTACTATTGCAGTTATTGCTATTGTTGCTATCGGTATTATTATTATCGTTGTAGTTGGCATTGTCAGAAATTGCTATTGTTGAAACTGCTAGTTGTTAATATCATTATCGTTCTCATTATTGTTGTTAATATTATTATCAATTACCACCATTATCGTGCAGTTGTCAATATCACCATCGTCCTCATTATTGTCATTAATGTTATTAGCGTTATTCTTGTTGCTATGGTTACCACTACAACATTACCGAAAGGATTTATTTCGTAATAACTCTTCGCTGTTCTGATTTCTGCCTCGTTGCGTCACCTTCGGATCTTGCAAATGCGATAAATTTTCGTCTCGGTTCACGATGATGGACTCGGCTTGTTGCACGGCTTGGTGGGCGGTTTTGCAATGTTGGTTTGTACGGCGTGCTTTGTCTCTGTGTTGCCTCTTGGTCTGTCTCTCTGTCTCTTTCTGTTCGTTTGTTTGCATGGTTGTCATTCTCTCACTCTGTCTCTCTCTCTGTCTATGTCTCTGTCTGTCTGTTTGGTGTTTCTCTCTCTCTCTCTTCTCTCTCTCTCTCTCTCTCTCTCTCTCTCTCTCTCTCTCTCTCTCTCTCTCTCTCTCTCTCTCTCTCTCTCTCACACACACACACACACACACACATACATACATACACACACACACCACAACACACACACACACACACACACACACACACACACACACACACACACACACACACAACACACACACACACACACACACACACACACACAACACACACACACACACATATGCACATAAGCAGTCTGGTGCAGCATACCCTTGTACGTACAAGCAAACGCACACACGCATACTTCACAAATGGATGCGTATATCTGTGTGTGCGTGTTTATATGTGCACATGCGTGAATGTTATATCTGTGTGCGTGTTTGTATGTACACATGCGTGAATGCTTATATCTGTGCGTGTTTGTATGTACACATGAGTGAACGCGTAAATCTGTGTGTGCGTCTGTATATACACAAGTGTGAATGCGTATATCTGTGTGTGCGTGTTTGTATGTACACATGAGTGAACGCGTATATCTGTGTGTGCGTCTGTATGTACACAAGTGTGAATGCGTATATCTGTGTGTGCGTGTTTGTATGTACACATGTGTGAACGCGTAAATCTCTGTGTGCGTTTGTATGTACACATGAGTGAACGCGTAAATCTGTGTGTGCGTCTGTATGTACACAAGTGTGAATGCGTATATCTGTGTGTACGTGTTTGTATGTACACATGTGTGAGTGCGTGGAGTAAATCCGTGTCGGAGAGTGGATTACGTGTTGCTGTCGTGTTGAAATCCCCGATTTTTTCTCGCCTCGCCGTCGCCGTGGGAGTCCGAAGATGCTCGACTGACTATATAGAGTAACCTTGTGTTTTCTTCTTTTCTTGTGTCTCTCTCTATCTTTATCTGTTCTCTCTATTTCTCTTCGTTGGTTTATATCTCTCTCGTATTCGAAGCTTTTTTCCTTTTATTTGTTATTTCTTACTGCCTTTTTTTTGTTATTCTATCTTTTTTTGTTTTTTTTTTTCTTTCCATTCGTCCAGTTCAGTCATTCTTCCTTCTATATCTTCCTGTTATTCCCTTTTTTTTAGTCGCTCTATCTCTCATCTAAGCTATCTCTCTCTACCTTTCCTCCTGTTCTTCAGTCCTATCCTTCTTTCTTTTCTTCATCCGTTCAGGCCCTCCACTCCCCTCCACGTCCCTCCACCCCATCGCCTTCCCTCTCCCCCTCACCCCCCTCCTCCCCTCCACCTCATCACCTCCCCTCACCCCCTCACCCCCTTCCCTCCCCTCCACCTCATCACCTCTCCTCATCCCCCTCCCTCCCCTCACCCCATCCCTCCCTTTACCCCCTCTCTCCTCTCCCTCCCCCACCCCCTCCCCCCTTACCCCATCGCCTCCCCTCACCCTCCCTCGCCTCCCTCACCCCCTCCCTCCCCTTCACCCCCTTTCTCCTCTCCTTCCCTCACCCCTTCCCTCTCTTCACCCCCATCGCCTCCCCTTACCCCCTCCCTCCCCTCCTTCCCCTCACCCCCCCTTCCCTCCCTCACCCCCTCCCCGAGAACATCCGTGAGAGGATCTTCGGGAATGACTGCAGAGAATCCGTCACGTTGAGGTTCGGACGTTACTCCAGTATACATGTTTACGGGAGGATGGAGGGAGGGAGGAGGGGAGAGGAGGAGGGAGGGAGGGAGGGAGGGAGGAGGGAGGAGGAGGGAAGGAGGAAGGAGGATGGGGGGAGGGAGAATGGGAGGATGGGAGGGAGGGAGAGGATGGGAGGGAGGGAGGGAGAAGGGGATGGAGGAGGAAGGGGGATGGGAGGGAGGAAGGGTGGATGGGAGGGAGGGAGGGAGGGAAAGAAGGGAGGAAGGAGGATGGGAGGGAGGGAGGGAGGAAGGGAGGATGGGAGGATGGGAGGAGAGGGAGGATGGGAGGGAGGGAGGAAGGGAGGAAGGGAGGATGGGAGGGAGAGAGGAAGGGAGGATGGATGGAGGGAGGGGTGGATGGGAGGGAGGAAGGGAATGGGAGGGAGGAGGGAGGAAGGGTGGAGAGGAGGAAGGGTGGATGGAGGGGGATTGGGAGGGAAGGAGAACGATGGAGAAGGAGGATGGAGGGAGGGAGGGAGGATGGGGGGAAGAGGAACGATGGAAGGGAGGAAGGAGAGAGAATGGAGGGAAGGAGAAGGGGGGGGATGAAGGGAGGGAAGGAGGGTGGGATGATGGGAGGGGAGGGGGATGAAAAGGGAGGGGGAGAGAGGAAAAGGAAGGAGGAATGAAAGAGGGAGGGTGAAAGATACAGGGAATAGGTAAGTAAGGGAAAATGGAAGAGGGTAGGGAGGGGGGAATGATTGAATGAAGAAAGGGAAAGAGAGAGGACGGAAGAGGAAGAGAAAGAGAGAAAGAAAGGAACAAGGAACTAAGTGGCCTGTTGGAAACGATTAACGAATGAAGAAGAACGGAGAGAGCAAGTGCAGTAAGAAGCCAGACATCGAATTTCTAATCAACTTGATTTATTAATACTACATGTTAGAATTATCTGTGGATTTGGTAACAGGATTAAGATTAATAGCATCATTACTAGCGTAAAGAATAGCTGTAGTTTAGTATTGGCAAATTTATGCACAGTCGCGTAAGAAACACATAATTTAGTTCTTTCATTTATGCTCTTCACATTTGACAACAAACAGCATTTTTTATTGTCATTAAATATTCTCGCCTCTCTAACCGTCCTTCAACATGAATCACCGCCCAGGAAGGGTGTGCTGCAGCTGGAAAGGCCTTGCGAAGATTTATCACTCGAAAAGGAAATGAAAAAAGAAAAGAAAGAAAGAAAAACGAGATACGGACGTCTTTCTGCTCTCGAGGTTGTTGTCTCGCGTGACTGTTGCCAAGTCACGCGGTTTCCGGAGGCTGCCTCAAGGGACTCAGTTGGAGCCTATATATATATATATATATATATATATATATATATATATATAATTATTATATATATATATATAATATATATATGTATGTATATATATGGCGTGTGTGTGTTTACGCATGTGCATATGTGTGTAGGTGTGTGTGTGTGAGTACGCATGTATGCATGTGTGTGTGTGTTTTTTGTTGTGTATTTTTGTGTTGTGTGTGCGTATATATATATATATATATATATATATATATATATATATATATATATATTTATATATATTGAGAGACTGTTCAAGTGTTTTTGCTTGCCAATTCTATTTTGTAGCATGAACGTATAACAATTTCAGGATTTAAGAAATTAACTTTTAAATCAGTCCAAATACGGATTTTATATCCGATCGAAGAGACAAAACACCAGATAACCTTGTGTGTTGTAGCAAAGACCAAGAACCAGTCACTTTAGCGAGTTTCAGCACCAGACCAGAAGTATCTTAATTTTGTTCATCATTCCGATAACTTATCACCAAATAGACTTGTTTTGTGACTGCGGGCACTTATTTTTGCCACCAATGGGATTTTATTTGGGTATTTCATCGACTCATGTTATTCATAATTTCTAATCCGGACTTCCTAAAAGGTCTAAACAATAAAGAGGTCTTATTTCACAGAGAGATTGAATCCCCGAGACAGCGGTTCTACCATTCCGAAATCCGCCATCAAAGTCACCGAATCCTTCCACCAGATGTCCACTTAATCCATATCCCGCTAATCGTTCGAATCCTTCCCTCGGAGACTCGGACATTTCTAATCCTATCACTTTCTGAATCCCACCGCCAGAGGGCCAGTCATTCCGAATCCTTTCCATAGAGACCAAGACATTCCTAATTAGGGCAGTCCGGATAGGGCCCGGCAGAGGGCCAGTCATTTCCCACCACCAGAGGGCCATCCCTCCCACCAGAGGGCCAGTCATTCCGGATCCCACCACCAGAGGGCCAGTCATTCCGGATCCCACCACCAGAGGGCCAGTCATTCCGAATCCCACCACCAGAGGGCCAGTCATTCCGGATCCCACCACCAGAGGGCCAGTCATTCCGGATCCCCCACCAGAGGGCAGTTCCCACCACCAGAGGGCCAGTCATTCCGATCCCACCACCAGAGGCCAGTCATTCCGGGTCCCACCACCAGAGGCAGTCATTCCGATCCCACACCAGAGGGCAGCGGGCCAAGAGGGCAGTCATTCCGGATCCCACCACCAGAGGCCAGTCATTCCCCCCACCCAGAGGGCCAGTCATTCCGGATCCACCACCAGGGGCCAGTCATTCCGGGCCACCACCAGAGGGCCAGTCATCCGGATCCCACCACCAGAGGGCCAGTCAGATCCCACCACCAGAGGGCCAGTCATTCCGGATCCCACCACCAGAGGGCCAGTCATTCCGGATCCCACCACCAGAGGGCCAGTCATTCCGGATTCCACCACCAGAGGGCCAGTCATTCCGGGTCCCACCACCAGAGGGCCAGTCATTCCGGATCCCACCACCAGAGGGCCAGTCAGAGGGCCAGTCATTCCGGATCCCACCACCAGAGGGCCAGTCATTCCGGATCCCACCACCAGAGGGCCAGCGCAGAGAGAGACGGCGCAGCGCGGAGATATCGCCTCGTAA